TTTGTATCCTTCCCTTCAAGGCTCAGGGGTCCAAGATTATCTTCTGTGTCTGTGTTAATTGGTTTCCCTTTTCTTTGTTGAAGAGCGTCTGTGCAGTCCTTGTGCCTAGTCCGCCATCTTGGCAGTGAGTTTTTGCCATTCTCATTTTTAAGAAGCATTCTGGCTGTACTTCTTCCAAGATATATTTATTTGTTCTTCTGCCAGTCCATGGTATATTCAGTATTCTTCACCAACACAATTCAAATGCAACATCATTAAAAAAGAAAAAAAAAAAAAGCCCACTGCTATTAAGTCAATTCTGACTCATAGTGACCCTATAGGATTACTATGAATTGCCCTATATGGTTTCCAAGGCTGCAGATCTTTACAGAAGAAGACTGTAACCTGTTTATTCCTCAAAGCAGCTGGTGGGTTCAAACTGCCAACTTTTCAGTTAGCAACTGAGTATTTTAACCATTGCACCACCAGGGTTACTTCATTAGTAATTAAACTGAAATAAAAATCCTGCTGTCCAGTCAGTTCCGACTCATATGACTCTATAGAACAGAGTAGAACTGTCCCAAAGGGTTTCCAAGGCTGTAAATCTTTATGGAAGCAGACTGCCACATCTTTCTCCTGTAGGCTGTCGGGTTTAAAGCACTGATCTTTCAGTTAGCAGCTGAGTACTATAACCACCGCACCACCAGTGCTCTTTCATTTCTCTTTAGGGAAATACAAATTGAAAACCACAATGAGATACCACTTTATACCTCTTAGGATGGTGTGAAAAAGATAGGAAATAACAAGTATTGGCAATAATGTGGAGGAATTAGAACCCACGAATATTGCAAGTGGAAAGGTAGAATGGTGCATCTGCTGTGGACAACTGGTAGTTCCTTGTATGGTTAAACATAGAGTTATATAATATAACCAAGAGAATTGAAAAAATATATTGACACAAAAATTTGTACATAAATGTTCATAGAATTATCATTTATTAGCCAAAAAAATGGAAATAACCCAAATGTCCATCAACTCATGAATGGTTAAACAAAATGTGGTATGTCCATACAATAGAATATTATTTAGCCATTAAGAAATGAATTAAATACTGACACATGCTGCAACATGGATGCACCTTGGAAATTTACACTGTAGAAAAGTACCCAAACAGACAGTGCCAATTAATATATGATTACAGTTATATGAAATACCTAGAATAGGCAAATCCATAGAAACAAAGTTGTTGATAGTTGCCAGGATATGAGTGGTAAGGGGTAATTGGGAGGGTGGAGTTTTTTCTGGAGCGATGAAGATGTTCTGGAACGACAGTGGTGTTGGTTGCATAATACTGTGAAATACTAGAAGTTACTAAATTGTACACTTTAAAATGGTGAATTTTATATTTATGTGAATTTTATCTAAAAAAAAAAATGGGGTGGGATTCTTTCCTAGATAACTTTTTTTTTTTTTTTAATTAGGATTTGGGTGAAGATTTACAGAGTAAATTCACTTTTCATACAGCAGTTCACATATACTTTGTCTCATGTCATTGACCAAAATT